TTTTTATTTCTGTTTATTTTAATTTTCATTTGATGAAAAAAGGCATTTTTTTGGACACTCCTTATTTAGGACCAGGTAAACTCATGAACAGATGAAAACTGTTCCAAATATGTATTTTTATATTATTAAGTTATCAAACTAAGTAACAAAAATAAAAAACATTGAATTAATTACTTTATTATAATTGTATACCACACGGAGGTACGAAATGGGTTAAGATAAATAAACCTTAAAATTTTTTTTTTTTGCAATTATTTCACTTGATAAAATATTTTAGGTTATTATTTGATATCAACTGTTTTTCAAACTGGTCCTATAAAATTCTAATAATCTTTTTTCAATGCAGACAGTTTATTTCTAACAATATTTAAAAGAGTAAATATTATTATTGCTGTTATACATCATATGTAGCGATCTATGATCTAAGGTTTAGTTTTTCTAAATTATTAATTAATGTCTAATTCATATTGTATTAATTAAGAATAATATATTAAAAGTTGATTATTATAAAATTTTCTTAACTTAGTTTTGTTTTCTATTCCAGGTAAGTGTTTTGGAACTGCATTTTATAAGATTCTAAGGTTTAAAAGAAGAATCAATGTGAGTGTATTTAATTGTTTTTTATTTGGAACTTATAATATCATTTGTAAACTAATAACATACCTTCTATCATGGAATATAACTAATGGGTGATCCATTTCATCCTAATCTAACAGCTTTGTAGCATGTGTAGCTTAAATGTGAAAAAGTGCTATTAAAAGTGCCGACGACACTTTATGCTTCCCAGTTTATAATATGGACCATTTGAAAACCGCCGAACTTGACAAAATAACCAAAACTGAATACAAAAGTGATGAATCTTTTCTAAATCGAAGTTTTTTTAGTTATGAAGCCTAATATTCGTTTGGTGGTTTTTTGTCAAAACTGTTATACATGGTATAGAAAAAATTTATAAGTAAACTCTGGAAAGATCATATCCACCAGAAACTCCCATATGTATGAGTCCCAAATTTGTTCCTAAGATAAGGAATGTATGACATGAACAGTCAATTCTAACTGCTGAATTTTTCATATAAAACTGAAGATATGTTATTTTAAAAGTATGGTGCTATGTTACTAGGTACACAACAATAATATAATAATAATACTCTTAAAGCATTTAATGCTGTAAGTGTTTTAGTTGAAGACATTTTAATTATGTTATATTCTGTGCTGTTCAACTAATATATTGAAATTAAAATTTGTTTGGAATTCCAATCGGAAGTGTGTTTTATTTGCGTTAGTTTTAAGATCTCAAAATGTGTACCCCTGTATTAAATTTTAATCTGGAATTGGAACACTTCATCTGTTGTTAATGCAAGCAGCTCATTTAGCTTGAGGTTGATTGCCAAGTCATCACCAACCCAATGGTGTCCCAAGACAGTCTTCCTCCTACTTCACAGTGCTGGACATTGCTACAATATATGCACCGCTGTCTCCTTTTCTTCTAGACATAGTCTGCAAGTGTTTTCCTCAGCAAGAGTTATCTTTTTGAAGTGATACTTGCAGTTGCCATGTCGAGTAGGGTGCTTAGGGTCGAGCTTAGGGTGCTCCGCGGATAGCTAAGCACTTTTATCGATTCCCTGATCCACGGTTTCGGCAACATGAGTTTGGTTTGTCTAGAAGTGCTCAACTCTCTCCATTTATTGAGATGAAGTGAGGATATCCATTTATAGACATGGGCTGTCATCATGTTGTAACCCTGGTTATGGCTTGATCCTTGATTTGCAAGTTCATCTGCTTTCTCGTTTTGCTCAATACCGACGTGTCTCTTAACCCACATGACCGTTACCCGATTTCCATGAACACATTCCATGAGCTTGGTGACACGTTTTTGAACTAAGCTGTAAGCTATGTATGTATTTTGCATCCTTTTGATAACTGTTTGATTATCCTGCGCTATCAGATTATTTTTCTAATACGCCTGACAATCCAATAGATGATCCACAGCATGTGATACGGCCACGAACTCCGTCTGATAGACGGAAATATATATTCCTAGATGTAGAGTGCACGTTTGATTTAGCTCTTCCGAGTAAACCCCAGCACTAGCTCTGCCATCCATCAAGGAGCCATCGGTAAAGATACAGGTATCATTCCTTTCACATTCATTATGTAAAAGGCCGTCTACTATCAGTGTTCTATAGGACATTTCTGTCCCATAAGTTTTCCTCATAGTCTCCAATGGCATCTACGTTTCCTTGACGAAGTCAATAAGTCAAGAATTTTCCTATGGCCCACCAATTTTCCGAAGTTATTCCATGTGTTGTTCCGTTTTCTTTATATGTAAGTTCAATGAAAGCAAGCCTAGCATCGCCTCTAACGCCGGTGTTGATGTGGTGCGCATATCGCCCGTTATTCTAACACAGGCTAATCGCTGGACCCTATCTGACTTCACTTTTACTGCCTTTGGGTGACTTTACTTCACCAGACTACTGACGCATATGTTATAATAGGTCTTACCATCATCGTATAGATCCAGTGATTTGATTTTGGGGATATCCCCCATCGTCTTCTTACACTGAAATAGGACTCTCTCCGCTTTTCTGATTTTTTCATCCGCATGTTCATTTCAGGTCAGTTTATTATCCAGGATGACTCCTAGATACTTCACCGACTTTGATATGCGAATGTTATTATTGAAAAGTTGTAGGGGCTCCATTGACAGACTTCTCTTCCTCGTGAAGAGGATAGTGTCTGATTTCGTCGCATTGTTGGTCAGGCCTTGTTCCCTGCACCATTTCTCGAAGCATTTGAGAGCACTTCTCATTACGTTTCTAATGGTGTTTGGAAACTTGCCGTTCACCATCAGTGCTATATCGTCTGCATACCCAATTGTTTGTATGCCTTTGAAGTCAAGCTGTTGAAGTAGAGAGTCTATGGTCACGTTCTACAGGAATGGTGAAAGCACCCCTTCATGTGGGCAACCTCCGACTGCTCTGCCTTTCAATCCATGTCTTCTATTTTGTAAATTTACTGCTCTTTGCCTTAGCCTTATCCATCCAATAATGAGTGAATCGACTTTTCGCTCAGCTGGAGCAGATTTTAATTTATCAAAGCTTACTTTGTCAAAGGCTCCTTCGATGTCCATCATGATAGCCATCGAAATGCTTCCTGTAGTTAGCTCTCTCTCAGCTGTACTCACGACCTCATGCAGGGCAGTCTCTGTAGATCTCCCCGCCCTATAACCGTGTTGACTTTGCTTCTGTGTAATCCTTCTTTCCTGGTTTTGGTAGAAAAGTTACCTTGACTCTCTTCTTGTTGCCAGTGACATCCTGAATATCTCCGTGAGCCTAAGTGCGATCAGGTCAATTCCCCATCATAGGAGTGCTGGAAATATGCCATCCAGCCCCGGTGACCTAAATGGAGCGAATGTCACGATGACATTCCTAACTGCAATTCTGGTCATTATCCTTTCTGCTGCAAATCTTTCTTCTTTGTTTATCATTCTTTTGGGAGAAGGCCAGTGATCATCAAATTTGAAACTTCCTTGAAAATGGGTCTCCATGAAAGTACTCAATGACTCTCCTACGGTCTTCGTCATTGCATCATCCTTCTTTAGGATTAAACCAAGTCTTGAGACCGGGTCTTGGTGACCATATTTTGTAACCGACTTATTTCAGATGTCCCTTTCATGATCGAATAGAAATTCCGCCACTGCTCCCGTTTGCGGTTGCGCAGTGCTGTCTTAAAATTACGCTTTCTGGCCCTGTGCAGATCCCATGATACGGAGTTCTTCTCCCTCATGTATTTGTTAAAGACTTTTTTGAAACATACAAATATATTTAATCCAATTTTATTTTAACGCAACTCTTTTAGAGTTTTATGTCTTTTAATATATATCCCATTGTCGATCCCATTGTCCCATTGTCGACAATGTTGTCGAAGCTTAATATATGGATATCCTTAAAGTCAGATTGTAAATTATGTACAAGTTTTCTTCCTCTAATTAATTCATACCAAAGACGTAGATTTACTTTTAGTTTATTAAAGGTATTGTTTGCGTAACACTACAAAACAATTACTTCCTGCTTTATTGAGTAACTACAGTATATATTAACAGCTACTGAGCTGTATAAATTACGCACAAATTCTATTTCTATATAATATATGTATATACATATATACATGTATATACATATATATACATATATACAAACTTTGTATAGTTTGTATAATAATTAAAGGTGAATTTTAATCTGACATATATATGTTGAATTTTGGACACTTATAGTCCAATTATTACTACAGATACTAGTAAAGTCACACAGCTATATAAAGTTTGAGTTTCCCATCTAGTAGAAGGCCTCCCCAACTAAAATGGCTACTTGATGTATTTGAATGAACTTGTATGTTTTTAGATTTCAAAAATTAATTACTTTGCAAGAATTATTTGCTGTAATTATATTATCTCAGTAATATAAGCCGCACTGGCTTGTGGTGGAGCTGCTGCAGCGATGCAACACTGCAACACTGCAACACTGCAGTACTGCAATAGCTGAGATACGTGTGTCCTAGTGAATTATTTAAATTTAATTGCCAAATGCAACTTATTTACCAAATTGCTAGTTTAACTGATTTATGTGTATCTCAACTGCTATATACAGATTAAATTAGATGCTATTCATATGTGTGAGTATCTGTGACTGCGTCTGTTACGTCTGTGGATGTGCAAATTTACATAGAGACGTGTTTGTGCGGTTGTTGTGAATATTTTTGATTAACTTTTATTGAAATAATTTTTACTGTCACATACCATAAACTGTGATATGTACAATAAATGCAGTGCTAATAGTGCAATATAAGCGTTGTAAATGTCAATTAATATCTTTTAATTACGCACACTTTTAATAAGGTTAAATGACATCAAACAGAATTTTGTTAATAATTAAGTCGTTGTTTAAATATTGTCCTCTCCGTTGTTATTCGTTGCAATTAATCGTGTTATATGTTTTTCAGGGTTTGCCCGCCATTGAAATTGAAGTTTCCAAATACTTTGTATAGCAGAGTTCGTTTTATTTTTTAAATCAGGTAAAAAGAAAAACACATTTAAATTGTGAAAATTTATGCTCAACTTGTCCAACATGTGCGTCAACATTTATGAAATTGACTAAATATAATCGAAATATAATGTAATATTTAATAATATGCAAATTGTTATCTATTTTTTATATAAAATTTGAGTTTAAAATGTGAATATAATACACATATAAAATCTGTACCAGGGCATCGAACGGGAACCGAATGTTATTGTTATTTCCTGCTGAGCTAATTGTTATTATGTTTTATAACACGATCCTACCGTTGATATTTTTAGTTCACAGTTTTTAATATTTTGGTGAATAATAAAATAAATAATGTTCATTTACTTAAAGAAAAACACAGTCGTCTTTCTTTTTGTTATTTTTTTTTTATTGTTAATTAAATTACACGGTAGCTTTTAAAGAAAGGTCAACACGCTGTAACCGTAACACTCTCAGAAGAAATCGCACAAGTTTCGGGTAGACATTAATGCAACTTTATAATTCAAACGCTTTTATTTATAATAGACATAAATATTTTCTTAATATATATTAATATATTTTTGTGTTATTTTTATTAATATATTTTATTAATATATTGATGGAGTGGATGGATGGAGTAAAGAATCCTCCTCAATTAGCTAAGAAGGCCGTTTTGAATACACAAATCCTCGTAATAATGAGTCAAACTAGAACCAGCCAGAGACAATTATAAAATTTTTTTTCTACAGAATAAAAATTTTGCTAGGTTTAAATATTAATTTGCATGGCACCACCATTTTTTTGTCTGTAAAAACTCTTTAAAATAAAATCAAACATGAAAATATTTAAAGATATAAGATATGAAATAGATTTTAATTGAGAATTCTAATATTCTAAAAATTTTTTGAACTTTTTAATAGGTCTGCGGTTCTATAATGATGCAATCCTCACTAATAAATGCATGAAGCGAGTTTTGTATGAAATTTTTAATGAAAAATAATTGAATTCATTTCATGTCAAAGCTGATATACTAAGTGAATAAGATTAATATTTTTTGATGTAATTTAATAGAATTTTTGTTTCATCGGAAGTATAATTCAATTTGCGGAAAATGTTGCATTTCAAGGCTTCGAGCACGCAATTTTTTAGTAGACTGAACAAATATTTGTGAAATAAATTGAACTGCAGCAAAGCAGATTTTTTCCACTCGACAAGCGTGGAACATTTTGTGGATATTACCTTCAATTTAATAATAAAAATATGGAAATTTATGACAAATTTTAAATCACAATTTTCATAAATTTTCTTCCTCCTCTCGTTTCGGTCGTATGTGTTTCGCTTATACGTTTCACAATACTCTGCAAAATGCATTTAAAGACAAAATTTTTTTATGAATTTATTTCACTCATAGTACAAAACTCTGCACTTGTAGATATTTCACGCATGACATTTGCAGAAGGAAACTTAATCCAATGGATTTGCGGGGATGGAGAATCACACACGGAATAAGTTAACATAAGTTTAGAGTACGAGTTTTCATACGGCAATGGGAGCTCACACTCGCATTTATACGATATGTACGCCAACATTGCGACAGGTAGACAAAGAAATAGACAGATAGATAGATAGATAGACAGTCTGGTGGGTGGATAGGCTGGCAGAGAGCTAGACACATAATATTGAATCTTTTTTGCAACACGATTATCCCTGCGTGTTATGAATTGTTAAAGAACACCTGAAAAGTTGCGTTAAAATAATAATTAAAAAAGTCGAAATATATTGGTAGAAAGAAATCATCTTTTACAGAAATCAAAATAGATTGATGTTCTTTAAGAGATTACAGATACATTGTTGATAAATTAAAAATATTGGGAGCAGAAAAATGTGTGTTAAATTCACAAAAGGATTGTGAATTTATCTCCAATACGATGCATGGCATTTTCTAATCTAAAAAAAAATGTAAATTACATAACAGTTTGCTTTATAAAATATTTCTTATAGGTCATAACATCATAATTAACTATTTAAGCTAATACGGTAGACGGTTAGGTTAATTCTAGTTGAAGTAGCGGTCTTGATGTACTAAAGCCCATTTTAACACAAATAATGGCTTGCATGGTTTTACGGACAGTACCATAGTTACATTTCTGTTATATTATATTAATATTTATTTGTGAAAAACTATTTTTTTTATAACGGAGAGAAAAATATACATCTGAGCTAATAGATTTAATAATTAATAATTACTTAATACAGCATATATGATATTTTAACATACTAGCAATAGATTTATGCAGCAGTTACGATTATCCTTACGGAAATGAGTAGATTCCTTGCGAAATGGGCACATTGTGTTTAAAATATTTTAAAGTAGTAACAGACGACTAAATTATAATAGCAATAAATAGTTTTTTTCAACGAGAAAGAAGCTTAAGTATTATCAAAAAACTCTAACCTCCACTATTTTGTTCCACCTCACGGTCTTTCTTTTTTTACACTTACTTCAGTCTATAATATCTTGATCATTTGTCTTGACCATTTATTTATCTTAAATGTATTACAACGACCACATCTTACATCAACAGAAATACTAAAGAAAGTATTGGTCGGTTAGTCAGAACAATATCGTCAAGTCTACGGATGAATTTTAGTGTGTCTACCTTAATTGAACCTTATCAAAAAAGGTTTACCTAAAAACGTTAGCTCTGTCCACCTTTATATTCATTCACCCTTTTTTCATTAACCTGAAGTAATAAAGCAGATGTGTTTTAAAGAATAAGTAGACTGAGTTTTAACTAATCTTAAATTCTAGGTTAAAATATAAAAAAAAATAATAGCAAAACTTGATTATAGTAGTAAAGAAATTTGCAGCAACTAACTTTGTCGTCAGATTTATAATTTTGAGTCGATATTGAATATTGCATTTAGTAATATCAGTTAGCCATTTTTTGATTTTGATTAAAAATATTTTGGTAGCATCTTTCATCTTTCAAAATCCTTATTTATTAAAATCAAACAGCAAAAATCGACGTTTGCGGATTTTAGCGACGTTCAACATTCGTTCAGTTATCTTCATATAATTCGCCCATACGATAGTTAGATATATTCAGCCAAGATGTTTTCCTCATTTGCGATGTGTATCTAATGCTAACTTTTCGAACGTCTCTGAATTTTCATCCCTTTGACGCTGTCAAGGTAACTGTGAAGCTCATTTATATACACCCTATGTCGAGACTACATTTCTATTAATAAGTCGAAGATTTTGTGGAAGATTTTTCCAACAGAAAATACAATGAAATAAAAATAACTTTAGTTACACCAAAGGAAGTTGTAAACGAAATACACAAAATGAAATTCAAAAAATCACCTGGATTCGATTTAATCACGGCTGAAGTCCTGCACCACCTGCCAAAAATTGTATTGACTATCTGGCCAATTTGCTCAATACATGCTTTCGCATCAGGTATGTTCCAATATACTGGAAATTCGCTGAGGTCATCATGATGCCCAAGCATGGCAAACCGCCGAACGAGGTAATCTCATACAGGCCAATATCTCTACTGCCGGTCTTATCGAAGCTATTCGAAAAACTGCTACTGACGCGACTGTTACCAATAATAGAGGAAAAAAATTGATTCCAATCCATCAGTTTGGTTTTAGGAAAAATCACTCAACAATTGATCAACAGCGCCGTAGAGTTGTTAGCACCATAGAAAACGCGATGGAGGAGAAAAAAATATGTTCTGCCGTATTCCTCGATGTGTCACAAGCTTTCTTCAAGATATGGTATGTATGTTTGTTTCAAAAATTTAAAATCATGCTACCTACAAAGTACTATGAATTGCTTTTATCATACCTTGATGACCGATATTTTAACGTCAAATGCAAAAACTCTTTTTCGCCTTTAAAAAAGATAACTGCTGGAGTACCACAAGGAAGTATTTATATTGGCAATAGACAGCACTATTGAAACCGCAACGGCCAAACTACAGGAGGCCGTCAACCACATTGATTCAAGGGCCAAGAAATGGAGAATTAAGTTAAATAAAAACAAATCAGTGCACGTAGTATTTTTTTTAAAAAAGACTTCCTATAAGCCTGTAGGCGTATCCTACTTAATTTAATTCTTTATTTATTTATTAAAGCAAGAAATAATTACTAAATTTTGTGTGTTGAAATTACATGTGTCTGTTGTTTTATTCTTAGTTTTCCCAAACCGTAAAAAGAATGACAACCTTATTTTTACTCAATAAAAAATATTATATTAGTTTTTAAAAATTTTCTTTTATGGCCAACTCATCTTATTTTCAATAATTTACTTGTCCGTGTTTGCATGGCAAATCCATATCATTTTAAAGATTAATGTGAACATGCAACCGCCACAAGCCAATATACATTGACACCGTTATAATCCCATACGCGGATGAAGCCAAATACCTTGGTATTACCTTGGTATTACACTCGACGCCAAATTGCGTTGGAAGGCTGATGTCAAGAAAAAACGCAATGAACTTGATCTAAAGCTAACCAAATTATACAACCTCATTGGCAGACGTTCCAAACTGTCTTTGCACAACAAAGTCCTCTTATATAAACATATGTAAGAGGATGGCAGCCCTGACTGAAAAAGGAAAAAAAAGAAAAAGCGAAAAAATACGAAACAAGGGGGTGAATGGGTTTTTGGTCGATCACCGTGTGCTAGCGTTTCAAATATTAAACATTATAATTTTCGTGTGTGATTATCTTTCGATAAACAATAAAACGAACTTAAAATCATAAGAGTGATCTATTGTTTTAATTTTGTTACTCTTACACATACCATAAAGCTAATCTGGACTTATGGCTTAAAGTTCTGGGGGTGCGCCAGCAAAAAGCGTATTGCTCCAAAGCATTGTAAATGCGCTATTTTACGTGAGAAATAGCGATCTACGTCGTGATCATCGTATGCCAACAATATCTGAAGAGTCGAAGAAATGTGCAATGGCACACAAACAGCGCCTGCAAGGTTACGTTAACGTAGCCGCATCT